AAAATGGTAGAGGACTTTTTTGTTCAATTTGACCTAAAGTATAAGTACACGACGGCAGTCGTCGCTATTATAACTCATTTACCATATTCTGCATGATTATTCACAAATTTTCTATAATTAATATCTCAATAATTATTGCGAATATCGCAAAACGGTACAGGACTTTTATGTTCACATCAACCCATTCTACGTCCCCACAAAATGTCCGGAGGAGAGTGTGAGACACCCTGTATATAATATATAAATTAATTATATATATATATATATATATATATATATATATATATATATATATATATGTGTGTGTGTGTGTGTGTGTGTGTGTGTGTAATTAAATTTAATAATAAATTCATATAGAAAAATTGTTCTGCAAACTTTTTGTATATTTTTGAGCTTCCATATTCAGTTGTAATCATACAACAATGATTTCTGAAATTTATTTAAGCAACCACATGTTCAGTATGTACAAGCTATAGAACTTTTATATCAGATAAATATTTACACTATAATAACGGCTTCAGATGTAAATTTTGAAATTTTCTATAGTTCTTATCATATATTGAACAATGCTCCAATTCAATTTTGCGCATACTTTTATTGTATAAAGGAATTTGTATAATTAAAACGTAAACTTTGCAGAAAAAACTTAGTATACTGTTATTAAAATTTTCAAGTATGTTGACATTTCATTAACTATGTGATAATTTCTTGTACTTTTTTCTCCTCACCAGACAATTAGACAGGAAAGCATGTGATCCTCTATATATTATGTTTTTTTACTATTACAGATCTCCGAATTTGCAGTTTATCTCTCTTTAAGTCTCTAGAGAGAGTAATAACAGAGAAAAACAGAGAAAGGGAAAGAGATACGAAAGATGGCAGGAAAAGAAGTAAAATCGGTTCCATTTTCCTATGGAACAAGTTTCTGTCTCCTTTCTCTTTTGTTTTTTGATCACAATGTCTTCTCATAGAGAAGTACTCTCTGTCGCTTAAATCTCTCTTCGCAATGGGAAGAAAATAGAGAGAAGGAGATTTGGTCGTGCTGTTCTCGGCCACAGCGCCGTTTTAACAAATTCATACGCTGGGTACGCTTATAACGAAATTAATTACAGTTCTCGGCCATCTTGTTTCATTAGTACCGCGGGGGTGCAAGGTTTCATTAAACCGCGCGCACATACTGCGTTACGTAGTACCGGTCCGGCGCGAAAAATGTGTGTAATAATATTTCCACATTCATAAAAATGCGCGCTCTTTAATATCGCGCGTTGTATGGCATTTAAAATAGCCTTCGCGGGGCTAATAAGTAGCGTTACGGGGAACAATGATCACGTATTCAGCCAGGAAAACGCGCGCGGATTAACTCGGTTTATTTCGTTCCAGATTTAAGGAGAGAATCCGTCTGGTCTTTGAGGAGATCTCCCTGCAACAAGGAGACCTGAGGTGAGTAGTGTTGAGTTGCGTCTTTCTACCCTCCGCGGTGAATTTCGTTGGCGACGACGATGATGAGGACGACGTATGCGAAACACGTATCGCGCAAAGTGGCGAGTAACGACAAACGACAGCGGAGAAAAAATCAAAACGTAACAAATTAAAGATTATACTATATCGCCTCTCCGGCAGCACTCTCCGTATGTCGTTTCGAAACTTCGTTCTGCAGAAATGGCTAAAAAAATTTCTTCCCCTCTGGCGGTGTCCCGAAGTTGATAGATTCGCGGGAGCAACGTTCGGTGCATCTGTGGGAAAAAGTTTGCTGTACGTTCTTCGCATATTCCGGATAGAAATTGAGTTCCGCAAGTTTCGAGAGAGAAAAAGCGGGGGAGATTTAGCGGAAGGATCAAAGTCGCGAATTCACGAAGTATGACTAGGGCTGCCTCGTCTATGTAAAAGATGCGCCATTAAGCCCCCGAGCAGGATGGTATCGGCTCGACCTGCCGATTTAAAAGTTTCAAACTGCCGCCCGTGCGACGCGTTGAAAACAACGCGTAACCGAAACCATCCGCGAAGGAGGGAGACAAAGGACAGACAGACAGAGACAGAAAGAGAGAGAGCGAGAAAGGGTGGAGGTAGAGGAAGGATAGGGAATGCTCCGAATGGGGCGTAAATCGTTCTCGGACACGACGGGATGTCCCTCTGATAAGTTAAGTTCGGACATTACCATTTCATATGTCCGAGGCGTAACTCAGTTTCCGGTATTGCTCTCATTTTTATTCAATGATTATTCAGTGATGTTTTCGAGAATCTGTATTTCGATACGTAGAAAAAAGGACATCCTTGTTTAGAAAATGTTTTCATTTTTAGCATATTAATCTTCAAATGAGGTTACATTGCGTTAAACGAAGGTGAGTTACTTGAGAAAATAATATTTTCACGTTTCACATATGATATTAAATATATTTTATATAATTCAATGAAAAAATCTGCTCTTATTATTCAGAAATAATTTTCATTAAGAGAATGCCATAGCTGAAAACTTTATTGACGAAATACTAATATTTTTTTCTATAAAGTTTACTTCATATTTGTTGCACAGAATTATAAGTGCTTTTACACACTGAAATTACATGCAAGAATAAATATGTGAACGGTAAAAAATTTTTAAATTGACATCTCGAGCTGTCAGAGCTGTTGACGTAAATATTTACTTCGTAAAATTTTATAGCTTGTACATGCCGCACGCATGTTTCTTTCGCAAACGAAATTTTCAAGGAATATTTTTGTGTTCTTACAACTGAATTTTAAAATACATGAAATGTTTGCTAAAACATTGCTATATATACGTGGTTATGTTTCCTGCTAGATGGTAAAACAAAGCGGCATACATTTATGTAAGATCTATATGTACAAGAACGAAAAGGATAATATGATTATGTTAACAAAAATCGCCTCTACATTATCGGTATTTTTCAAGTTCGTCATCCACTTTCTCGAAAAACTTTCATGACAATCGCAATAAGTGACAATTAATTTTTGTTCAATTTATGGTAACTTTATATATGTACATATAAAACGTTAAATAGATTTACTTGAAACGAATTACAAATTTATGTAATGCCTTAATGACTTAAAAATTTAATAACTTAAATTTTCTTTAAAGACTTAAATTCCTTAAAATTTATTTAATGACAAATTCTTCATTATAATAATGTCGCAATACATTTGTTATAAATATACTTCATATTTATCTATTCCCTATTTTTAATAAAGAAATAATTAATTTTACGTAAATTTGACGTAAATGAATGTTTATATCGATATATCGAAGTCTGTTGGAGAATAATTTGCAAAATCATATTATATTTGATAATTAATTCAAATTAATAAATACTTATGACATAAAGGATATATATGAAGCAAATATAAATAATCCTGACATGAGGAAAACAGGACATAAATATGTGTCAAAAGAGTAAATTATTTTTACTTACTGCGTAATGTAAACTTTAAGTAAATATACCCTCAATATCTAACTTTTCCATTGTATAAGCCAAATGTGCGCTAAATTTTGAATATATTTATTAACACATTGCATTAGATAAATTTTACTGATTTTATATGCATCATTATTTCATCATTGTTGTCCGTAAATACGATAGCAATTTGATTAGTCATAAGGGAGTAAATGTTGCGCGCTACATTTCGTGACTCAAGACTATTTTAAAGTTGCTGTAAAGTTTACGTATATCTGTCTATCGAGGATTATTGAAATACAAGACTTAGAAATTTCTTTAGAATTATACAGTGTGTCCCAAAAGTCTTGCAACCCCTAAATATATTTTGAAAAATACGCATTTTCGAAAAAATTCGGGACATATTAGCTTGTATATCAAACAACAATTGTTAACTTGAATATTTTAAGTTAATGTTAATTTTTTTGTCTATGCATTGAATCTCTGTATGCTTCCGTGATTAATGCACAAACCGCGATGTTATGTCATCTGAAGTAAGAAACTGTTCGGAATTTCACTACGGTGCTTACCGCGTTCGATTCTACACTATCTTTCCGTTGCTCGCAATATTTCGGCCACTTCGAATCTCTCAACTCCCATTGTACTTTCCGGACCAATAACCCTGGAACTTGAACGAGGCACGAAATGAAAGCCACGCAGCCGTTAAAAACTTCGAGACGCGTTCGCGCACACCCTTGTATATATATGTACATACACGCAACTGGGAGCACAACATCGGTTTCGTGCGACTTTCCAGAAAGAGAGAAAAAAATAAGCGAACTTAGAATTACGAGGGTATTCAAGCGTTATTGCCGAAGACGGACACGCTTTTTACAACTTTGGTAACAAGTTTCACATCCGTCAACTTGCTCGAGTTCTCACGAGAAGCTGGGTATAAAGGTATTATAGAAGAATGAAATGAGTTGAATCGGATAAAATTGTATAATATCCAAGAGTAAAGTAAAATAAAGGTCAATAAAATGCTAATTTTTACACGTCATTTTTACATCTATATTTTTAGCTTTATTTCGATTTCAACTGATTCAATTACAAACATTTTTCCTTTAATTTATATTTAAAAATTATTACACAAATAAAAATGTAAATACACCACACAACAGAATAAAAGCAAATAAAATGTTAATTGTTACATGTATCTTCATTATTAATTTTTCATCTTTATTTCGACTTTAATTTATTCAATTATAAATATTGTTTTCCTCATTTTGTCTTTGAAAATCATCAGAAATGAATATATAAATATGAAAAAAAGTTTCTTTTTTTAAGAAATCTTCAATGAAGTATTTGTCAACATCTAACAGCATAGAACGCCTTGTGACAATACACTCCTTTATATATAATATAAAGAAAATAATTCCACATCTAACATTTATCTTAAAAGCAGAAACTAAATTTTTGTTATAATTTTTAGTTTATTTATTTAATTACGTATAAAAGAGAAAACTCTATTTTTTATAAAATAGAAATGAAGTTTTTAGAGAGAGATGATGAACGAAAACAAGATATTATATAATTATCAGTTAAAATAAAATTTTCATCATTTTTAATACGTTCGCTATCAGCGTCGTGTGATAGCAAAAATATGTTTATTCTATGTCCACGTTATCAAACTAAGTCTGTTGTACACAATTATGTAAAAAGAATACAAGATAAGCAGTAGGAAGAGCTCTTCTGCATAAACCGTAGTAGCGAACGTGTTTAACGTTAACAAAAAAGATTTTCCCGAAATGAGATTACAAAAACAGGAAAAGTGGTTCAGATTTGCTTAATGAAAGTTCTTTTCCCGTCACACCTCCACACCTATTACAACATGGCTCATACATAATGCATGATTTATGCAACTAACCAAGATTGACACTGCATCCATTATTTTACAATTTTATATTATAATACACACACAAATAGACTTTCATGATCATCACGACGTGAGACAATCGATGATAAAAACTTTACAATTCTTTGAATTACATTTATGAAGTAAATATACCCCTAATAGAAATCTATGCAGTTTTACTAGACACCTAATCAGTTACTGTCTAGTATTACTGCATTTCAAACTGCGCAAAAACTGGAAAGGAACTGAATATAGTTTTATTAAGTTTTATATCGCATACAAATGTGCATGATAAAAATTATATTGTATAGATACGATAAAACTATGTAAAGAAGAAGTGAACGCGTAGCAAAACATAGAGCAAAGAAGAGGATGTAAGAGGAAATCTGGAATTTAACAAACAACACGTTATGGCAGAAGTGACAAGTAAGGTTAGAGTTGAAAGTAAACAAACGACAAATGGGCTATATATTAATAATATAGAATTGCATTGCGACAAAAACACATTAGACTATCTTAAAAATGCACTTTAGATTTCCTGTACTATTGTGGACATAAAGGTTGTCCGACTTTTTAATCGTAACCTAAAAATCGCAACGTAACCTAAAAATTATCCAATGAGAGAATAGTACCTAAGAAATACGTTTCTTATATTGGACTATTCGGTTATATTCTGAAACTATTACAAAAAATCAGACATTCTTTATATCTACGACTGTACTGACTTTTATTAAAAATTAAAATTGTACAATAAGCAAGCATGTACACAATATCCATTATTACTAGCACAAAACTGTCCATTTCATGAGCAATAAACTTGCTTATTAATCGACTGAATAGTTTCTTTGTTCAATTATTGCTCAGTTCTCGGTCAATAAATGACTTCAGAAATTGCGCATTTTTATGCACAGTAACTGCAAATAAAGCGTTACATCTTGATTAGGATCCCAAAAGTTTTATTCGTCAGTTATTGGGCAAACGTTAATATAACTGTTCAGTAACTGCTTACGAACTGCGTGAAATTTCTACCAAGGTACTGTAATGAATTAATTATTAAATTTACATTATACAATAATGTAAATTTTTTATTGTATTGATGCAGCAAAAAATTTGCTGAAAGTTACATTCAGATTTTGCAT